GGAGGGAAAACAGGTGGGAGGACCTGAGCGGAAGGGACATAAGAGAAAGTTGGCCGAAGTGCAGCCGGGTCTTGTGGTGGATGGAGACCCTAGGCCTTTGGCTGCGGAAGCTCGCAGTCACGTTGCGGTGTTGAAGCAGGCAGTGGGGCCGAGCGAGGAGTGGCGCGTAGCGGCGCGCAAGGCCGCGCACGCGCTGGCGGAGCTTGCGAAGCGCGATGAGTACGTGGACACGATCGTTGAGGAGGGTGCTGTGGAGGCTCTTGTCATGCACCTATCCCCTCCGTCAGTCTGCGAGGAAGAAGATGTTGGCGGTGGGGTCAGCAGCTCCTGTCGTGCTGTTGTGGCGTGCGAGCACGAGGTTGAGAAAGATGCAGCGTATGCCATCGGTCTTCTTGCGGTCAAGCCGGAGTACCAGCGCATGATAGCGGACGCATGCGCGCTCCCCGCGCTCGTTGCGCTGCTGAAACGGCGGGGGACGGCGGCTAACTGGCGGACAGTGAACGGCGTTCTCCGCCGCTCGGCTGACGCCATCACCAACCTCGCGCACGAGAACGCCTCCATCAAAAGCCGCGTTCGCAACGAAGGTGGCATTCCCCCGCTGGTGGAGCTGTTAGAGCTGGACGACCGCAAGGTCCAGCGGGCGGCGGCGGGCGCGCTCCGCACTCTGGCCTTTAAGAACGACGCCAACAAAAATCAGATCGTGGAGTGCGGCGCGCTGCCCACGTTGGTATTCATGCTCCGCTCGGAGGACTCCGGTATCCACTATGAGGCCGTTGGCGTGATCGGCAATCTCGTGCACAGCTCGGCGAGCATCAAGCGGCGGGTGTTGGACGCGGGCGCGCTGCAGCCCGTGATTGGTCTGCTAAGCTCGCGCTGCCCGGAAAGCCAGAGGGAGGCGGCGCTTCTGCTGGGCCAGTTCGCGACGACGGAGCAGGAGAAAGTGCGCATAGTGCAGAGGGGGGCGGTCAGACCTCTGATCAAAATGCTAGAGGCGCCAGATCTTCAGCTCAAGGAGATGGCGGCTTTCGCGCTCGGAAGACTGGCGCAGAACCTGGACAATCAGGCGGGCATCGTGCACGACGGCGGGCATAAGCCTTTGCTGGAGCTGCTCTGCTCTCGCAACGGATCGCTCCAGCACAACGCCGCGTTTGCCCTCTACGGGCTCGCCGACAACGAGGACAACGTGGCGGATATAGTGAAGGAGGGCGGCGTGCAGCGCCTCCGCGACGGCGAGTTTATCGTTGCCGCGTCCAAGGAGTGCGTGCAGAAGACCCTCACTCGACTCAAGGACAAAGTGCAGGGCCGCGTGTTGACCCATCTCTTGGGCATGCTCCACTCCTCCGACAAGACCATTCAGCGCAGGACGGCCTCCGCCCTCGCCCACCTGTGCAGGGAAGACGACCAAAGGGTCATTTTCATTGATAACGGCGGTCTTGAGATTCTCTTGGAACTCTATGCCTGCACTTCAAACGCCAAACTGCACAAAGAAGGCGCTTCCGCGCTTTTCACGCTCGCTAGCAAGGCTGCTCCCCGCACGCCCGTCGACTCCGCCCCTCCCCCCCCCACGCCGCAGATTTACCTCGGAGAACAGTATGTCAATAGCCCCACACTCTCTGATGTGGTGTTCTTAGTCGAGGGCACCAAGTTCTATGCTCACCGCATCGCGTTGCTGGCGTCGTCCGACACTTTCCGGGCCATGTTCGACGGCGGGTACAAGGAGAAGGAGGCGAAGGACATCGAGATCCCGGATATCAAGCTGGACGTGTTCCACTCGATGATGAAGTGCATTTACACGGGGAACGTGGATGTGACGCCGGATATCGCGCAGGACCTGTTGCGAGTAGCAGACCAGTATTTGCTGGACGGATTGAAGCGGCATTGTGAATACGAAATTGCGCAGCACCTGACGGTGGAGAACGTGGCCAGCGTGTACGATCTGGCGGAGGCATACCATGCGCGCAGTCTGCAGGACACGTGTGTTGTCTTCGTGCTAGAGCATCAGGCCCAGCTCTGTGACACAGCGGGATACCCCGCGCTTGTACAGAAGATCATTCCAGACATCAGAGGGTACATGAACCGGATCTTACGGCCGCGATCGGGATCGTCGCAAGATTCGGCAGCTGCAGCAGCAGCGAGCACCCCTCCCCAATCCCAACGATGCGCCATGATGTCGTGATGATAATGGTCATCAGCTTGATCTATGATGATTCATCATAATCATCATGATTGATACTCTATGACCTCTACTTCTCCCTTTTTCCCGCGTTCTTATTCTGGGTTATTCTGCAAAGCTTGGCGTGGTCTGGTCTTATCCCTCGCCGTCGGATAGGACTCCTGACCAAGGTTGCTTCCACACTTTATTCTCTCGCTGTCTCCGTCTCTCTCTCTCTTTCTCTCTCTTTCTCTCTTTCTCTCTCTTTCTCTCTCTTTCTCTCTTTCTCTCTTTCTCTCTCTTTCTCTCTCTTTCTCTCTCTCTCTTTCTCAGTTTCTCTC